GAGAACTGTGATTTAAACAACTTGATACGTTCCCTAGTTCATCTAGCTTTCTTCTTACTCTTGCAAAAAACAACAACACAATCCTCCCCTGCAATCTTTCCCTTTAACTGACTAAACTTTGTTCTTTATGACATTGTCTGTTGCTGTACACCTGTATTGAAGCTACTGCATGGAACTGTACCAAAAACCGGTAGTCTTTTTAAATGAATAAAAATTGTACTCTAAAAAACAACACTCAATCAATCGGGTGTCCCTGCAGCCTCTGTGTCCAGATCGCTGCTGGATATGGGAGTCATTACATGACCAACTCCTCCCTTCACACAAACACATCCATTGCCTGACAGGTCAGTCCGGACCCTGCCCAGTAACACCTCGACCAGACACACAGCCTGCTTGTCTCCTGAACTCTGTGCAGCTATCCTACTTGTAGGTAAAGGTAAAGGGACCCAGGGACGCGGACTTATAAAAAATATTGGGGGGGGGGGCCGGGAAAGCTCATGAATAATAAATAAGCTCATGAATATGCAAATAAAGTGGTGCCGCCTCCTCGTGAGCGAATAGGGGAGAGCGTGCTGCGCCTATTAATCAGCTCCAAAGGAAATTGGGTGGAGCTTTTGCTCGGGAGGGAGGGCAGGAGGCATGCAGCCCGCCCCTCCCTGTGCATTTTGGGCTGGGGGAGGGGCGGCGATGGCGCTCTGCTGGAGGGGCGCCGGAGATTATTGGGGGGGCGGAGCCCCCCAAACGAATTTTTGAGGGGGCTCGGGCCCCCTCAAGCCCCATGGAGTCGGCGCCTATGAAGGGACCCCTGACCATTAGGTCCAGTCGTGGCCGACTCTGGGGTTGCGGTGCTCATCTTGCTTTATTGGCCGAGGGAGCCGGCGTACAGCTTCCGGGTCATGTGGCCAGCGTGACTAAGCCGCTTCTGGCAAACCAGAGCAGCGCACGGAAACGCCGTTTACCTTCCCGCTGGAGCGGTACCTATTTATCTACTTGCACTTGTACGTCCTTTCGAACTGCTAGGTTGGCAGGAGCAGGGACCGAGCAACGGGAGCTCACCCCGTCGCGGGGATTCGAACCGCCGACCTTCTGATCGGCAAGTCCTAGGCTCTGTGGTTTAACCCACAGCGCCACCTGCTGGTAAAGGGTACCCGAGTGAGCTGGGAGTGGGGCAGGACTGTAGCTCAGTGGCAAAGCAATCACTCTGTATGCGGAAGCTCCCAGGTTCAGTCCCAACCAGTCTTGGCCTGCAGCTCCCTCCTTGCATCATTTATTTTGTCATCACCAGGCGGTGCAATGCTTTCCTTTTGAGTGGAGGGAAAGGCAAAGTAGGTGTTGAGCAGTTCCGCTGTTAAGTTGCGGGTGAACATATCAGACGACACGGTGATTCTTCAAACAGCTCTTGCTTATTCGCAGGCCAGAACAGAACTGAACTGAAGGGTTCAGCCAGCCTGCTTATATAGAGCTCCAGTACAACGCAACTGTAGGAATTTTCTGTAACTATCCAATCATTGATCCCTTATTTGCATATGTGGACCTGAGTGAAAACTATGTACAGTATCCCCCTGCTGGCCCAGGGTGAGAACTTCAGTACATAATATCCGCCTAACACAGTGTTTCCCAACCTTTTTTGGGCAAAGGCACACTTGTTTCATGAAAAAAGTCTCGAGGCACACCACCATGCCAGATGGGGAAAGGTCACTTTTTACTTATGTAAAAAAAAATTAAAAAATAGTAACAGCATAGAAGGTAATGGTAGATGACTGTTAGGGTCTCCCCCCAAATGCAGAATTCTATTAATATCTTCCTTAGCGAGCCGCGTTAACCCCTGTAATGCTTTCTATAGAGTAAGCATAGGGGACACTGGGGGATGTGGAACCAAGGGGGCAGTGGGCCAAAAGAGTTCGGGATCTACTGCTTTAAACAGAAATAAGAGCCAGTGGGTTCTTCCTTTTTTAAAGTATCGTTTCAGCGGGGACAGCAGTCCGGATTTCCAAAAAGCGGCGCTTTTTTGCGTCTGAGCAAAGAAGAGAGAGAGGGGAAAAAAGAGAGAGAGATTGATTTGTGGCTGCGCAAAGGGGGGAGGAGCCCAGGAGTAAAAGTAGGAAGGACGAAGGGAGGGGAAAGGAAAGTTAATAGAAGGAAAGGCGGGTGGGAGAGAAAGAGAAAGAAAGAGGGAAGGAAGGGGGGAAGAGAAGTGGAAAGGAGGGAGACCGAGGCGGGGGAGAAGCGTCTGGAGAGTTGCTCCGAAGTTTGGGGGGCCGCGGGGGTGGGCGCGCGTCCCAGGAGGCGGAGGCCAGCCCGGGCTGGGAGCCGCGCCGCGGCCCGGGGGCGGGAGGCGGACCGCGGCTCCTAGGATGTGGAAAGGGGACGGCGGCACAGGGGGAGGAGACCCACACGGCTAGGGCAGCGCGCAGGGGGAGGGGAGCGGGCCAGAGGCGGGCGAGGGGGGCCGCGATCCCGCGCGCCGCGAACATGGCCTCCTTCCCCGCGGGCCCTGCCGAGCCCCCCGGCCGGGAGGGCGGCGCGCCCCCGCCGCCGGAGGAGAGCAGAAGCAGGAGGAGGAGGACGAAGGCGCTGCCGAGGAGGCGCGCCAACTTCTGCCAACTTCGGCGCCCGCCCCGTCGCCGCAGGCTCCTCCCGGCCGAGAGCCAGAGGACGGCGGCGGAGCAGGAGGAGGAGGATCGGGTTTGGCGACGGCTGCTGCGTCCTCTCCAAGCGCGGGGCTGGCCTCCGCCGCGCCCGATCCTCCGCGCTCGCCGCGCTTCTCGGCGGAGCAGGTCTCGTGCGTGTGCGAGGCGCTGCTGCAGGCGGGCGACACCGGCCGGCTGGGCCGCTTCCTGGGCTCGCTGCCGCCCGACGCCGAGGCGCCATGCCTGGAGGCGCAGGCGGGCGAGAGCCTGGCCAAGGCGCGCGCGCTGCTGGCCTTCCAGCGCAGCGACTTCGCCGAGCTCTACCGCCTGGTGCAGAGCCGGCGATGGGATGTGGGAGGGAGCTCGCTCGCCGCCCCGCGTGTGCCTATGTGGGGCACGTTACAGCCCCGTGACGTCAGCGCCACGCAGGCAGCCAGGCAGGCAGACGGCGAGAGCCCCGCGCTGGGCGGCCTCTCCTCGCCGCCGCCGCCCCGCCTCTCGCCGCCCGACTCGCCCGCCTCCCTCCCACGGCACACCAGGCAACGTCTCGCGGCACACTAGTGTGCCGCGGAACACCGGTTGGGAAACACTGGCCTAACATCACCTAACAGCAATTCTCCTTCTTCTCTGCAGAGGACCTACTACTCGCATGTTCTCCCACTTGCTTCGAACAGAGCCAAATAAACCTTATTTCCAACCTCTCTAACAAGCCGGAGCTCATTCTGAGCTTTGGCCTGTCTGACCTTCTCCCTGCAACTGTCGGCTACGCATGTATACTCTTCCTTTGCGATTTCCCCTTTCTTCCATTTCTTATACATGCCCTTCTTAAGTACCAGCTCACCTGTAAGTTCCTTATGCAGCCACCCTGGCTTATTTTAAATGCCTCCCACTTTTCTTTCTTGTTGCAATGGGCCAGAAATGTAGCTGCCCAAGAGAAATAACTGCATGTGGTTCCCCCCCAAAATAAACGAGGGAGAAACTCTTTTATGGGATTGCCGACCGATCCCAGGAAACCTTGTGTTTTTAACATCAGAAAGGCTGGTCTGGATGAATCCCTAGCCGGAATTAAGATTGCCGGAAGAAATATCAACAACCTCAGATATGCAGATGACACAACCTTGATGGCAGAAAGAGAGGAGGAATTAAAGAACCTTTTAATGAGGCTGAAAGAGGAGAGCGCAAAATATGGTCTGAAGCTCAACATCAAAAAACGAAGATCATGGCCACTGGTCCCATCACCTCCTGGCAAATAGAAGGGGAAGAAATGGAGGCAGTGAGAGATTTTACTTTCTTGGGCTCCATGATCACTGCAGATGGTGACAGCAGCCACGAAATTAAAAGACGCCTGCTTCTTGGGAGGAAAGCAATGACAAACCTAGACAGCATCTTGAAAAGCAGAGACATCACCTTGCCAACAAAGATCCGTATGGTTAAAGCTATGGTTTTCCCAGTAGTGATATATGGAAGTGAATGCTGGACCATAAAGAAGGCTGATCGCTGAAGAATTTATGCTTTTGAATTATGGTGCTGGAGGAGACTCTTGAGAGTCCCATGGACTGCAAGAAGATCAAACCTATCCATTCTGAAGGAAATCAGCCCTGAGTGCTCACTGGAAGGACAGATCCTGAAGCTGAGGCTCCAATACTTTGGCCACCTCATGAGAAGAGAAGACTCCCTGGAAAAGACCCTGATGTTGGGAAAGATGGAGGGCACAAGGAGAAGGGGACGACAGAGGACAAGATGGCTGGGACAGTGTTCTCGAAGCTACCAGCATGAGTTTGACCAAACTGCGGGAGGCAGGGAAGACAGGAGTGCCTGGCGTGCTCTGGTCCAGGGGGTCACGAAGAGTCGGACACGACTAAACAACTAAACAACAACTGAAGCTCTTCATGCTACAGAGGCAAATATTTTCTCTGTACGCTTAAGGAACAGCTGTAACGCCTAGTTTAAAGTTGGCAACCTGAATACTCTCACCACTCAAAACGAAAACGCAGTTTCCCTTGAACATACCAGCTCCAGGACTGGGGAAAAGGATCTGACAAGAGACCCAGTGAGCCCTCTTAACTTGCCAACAGCAGAGCATACAAACTGCAAATGTTCTCCCTCTGCTTCTGACGGCTGTGGGTGCGAACTGTACCCTTTGCCTGTCTTACTGCCCAGGCCTCAGTCGCCAACCTCAGCCATCCCTGTCCATCCAGCCTGAGTGTAATTAAACCCACAGGAGCCTCTGTCGTGTGATACCCACTTGGTGGCCAGCTTTCTTGCCGAACTCCTCTCTTCCACAAGGTGGCAGAGGTAACCTGGCCCGGCCGGCTGGGATAAACCTCAGGTAAGAACACTCTGATTGCCATCCAGCGGGTGGAGTATTGGGAGCAAATGCCTGGCTTTATAAAGACTTGGTTCTGTCCAGAGGGACAGCCCTTCATCGACTTGGAGACAAGCTGAGGACACGCAGCAGTTCAGGTCTACACAGCAGTGGTCAGCAAGCGTGTCACGGAAACACCCCGCGGGAGGAAGCAACGGGCTCGATGCCCCAATATTGGAGGGATCGTCTCACTTTGCCCTACGCCATGGAAGCCTGTTGATTCCTTTAACTCTGCTCCCAAAGTGCCCTTGTGCATTTTCAGGGGAGGCGAAAGGAGGAGGCGGACAGTTAATTCGGCACCAGACTCAGTCGCCGGGTGGATTTCAGAAAGAACACATTTATTTTTTTGAGAAGACAAAGAATAGTAATAACTAAACCTTGCAAAGAAAGCAATTCCAGGATTTAAAAAAAAAATTAAAATTAGTGGCTCGCAAGATTCCTTTTCCACCCTTTCTTACTGGGTTTTTGGAATGCTGGGCTCTGTCAAGATGGAATCACACGACATTTCCGAATGGACTTCATACTACAACGAACCCACGGAGGTAGGTGCCAAATAGCGCAAAAAAAACCCCCAACAACTTGGGAATAATTTGGGAATAACTTGGGAATGGATGCCTTTCTCTTTTTTTAAGGAGTAGGGTTTAAAAGAAGCAACTGTGGCTGCTCTATTTAGGACACGCATGAGATATAATGTTAATTGTGAGACCCGGCCGTACTGCGATCTTGGGAACTCTCTTGTGTGCTTCCAGAGTGTTGGGCTATATACTTCCTTTATCAGAATATGCCGCTCAAAACTCCTGTTGTTATAAGGAACTGTCCCTGGCATCGCTACTAGGCAGGCGGAGATGGAATATTCTACCTGTCGACAACTTAAAAGGAAGGGAAAATAGCAGGCGGTATAATTTAGTTCAGCAGTTCAACCGTGTGGAATTCAGTAACATGTAGAATTCGCCCTCAGAAAAGGCAGTGGTGGACCCCAGATTGGGTGCCTCTAAAACAGGATTAGGCAATTCCATGGAGCGTAAGACTATCCATGGAGCTACCAGTGACTACGTTCTACTTCCACAGTTGGGGGCAGTAAAATTTCCAGATAATACCAGTTTCTGGGGAATCCCAAGTGGGGAGAGTAGGTTTCGCACCCAGGTCCTGCTTGTGGGATATGGCGGGTCACTGTGAAAACAGTCTGCTGGGCCACCACCAGCTTGACCCAGGAGGTTCTTCTTGTGTTCCTAGGGTTGTTAAGAATTGCCTTCCTAGATCGGACCCCATTATTCCAGAGTTCTGGCCTAGCCAGTCAAAATGAAACAAAAGCTTGCTGCGTTGTATCTGGTCAATCCATGGGCCTGTCCAGCTCAGAGGACTGGTTGTGCCTCTCCAAGGTTTCGGATAGCGAATCCTTCCCAGAGATTGGGGATTGAACCTTCTGCATGCAAGACATGCGATCTGCCACGGCGTCACCATGGCTCTATCCCAGGTGCCAGTGGAAGGGCATGAAAGCCATGGGTCACCCAGCTCTGTTCTTACCACCTGGCATCCAACCGTTTATTTACAACCTCTGATTATGGGCCAAATGACATCTCCAACCCCCCATGTGTGTTTACCTCGCCGTTTTTATGGCCGCCGTTTTATGGTTACAGTCTGTAAAGTTTTCTAAAGGAAGCCTCCAACCAGGTTGATCGCAGCACCTAAGGTCCAGGCCGCCCTTAGTACTTTACATTCCAAAAACGGGAGCTGGGTCTTTCAAAAAACCAGCTTTCTCTTAAGCCGACGCAGCGTGTACCAATATCGTCTTGGTCCCGTATCCCAAAAAGAGCCATTTTCTCCCGTCGCTCCTGCAAGCTCTTTCTAATCTCAAAGCCACCTTTCTTGCGGTTGGAAAACTTTGCCGTCGATTCCATATTCCGTGCTTCCTCCCTCGCCTCCCTGCCATTGCAGCAATATAAATTAAAACTGCGGTTGCAGGGTCTTGGAGGTGGGAGAAAAGGAAAACTCGGTGTCATATTTCTTTGGTTTTTAATTAAATTTAATTACTGAGCAAAGAAGCTTATAATCCCAACACGTTGCTCCTCAGCCACGACCAGGTGTCGGCTAGGTCACAGCGCCAGTTTCTAAAATGGCTGCATGTTGCCTACTCTGCGCTGACTGACATCAGTTTCCCAGGGTCTCGGGAAGGAGTTTTTCCCAGATGCGATCTATACTGTTGAGCTTTAATTCCCCCTCTGCCTCCAAAGAGGGCACAAGGTGGCCCTTATGGAGGGGACTGGCTGGGTTTCTTCAATGCCAACACAGGTCCTACGGTTTGGGTTTAGCAGGAGCTTGCCAGCACTTCAGATCCTGAGCTCTGTTGCTCATGCCTTTTGAGAGATTGCTGCTTCCTGTTGTAATTCTAGGCAGGGACAATACCTGTGTCCGTCCCCCACCCCTAAAAAATATATATAACCCTGTGTTTTGAAGTAAAAGCAGTGCAGTGCAACGCGCCTTTTTTGCTTTCTCCCTTGTCCACTGCTGCTACGTGGCCCACTTACAGTGGTACCTCGGGTTAAGTACTTAATTCGTTCCGGAGGTCCGTACTTAACCTGAAACTGTTCTTAACCTGAAGCACCACTTTAGCTAATGGGGCCTCCCGCTGCCGCCGCAGCACGATTTCTGTTCTCATCCTGAAGCAAAGTTCTTAACCCAAGGTACTATTTATGGGTTAGTGGAGTCTGTAAACTGAAGCGTATGTAACCCGAGGTACCACTGTAGTTCCTTGCGCTCTCTCAACAATGCACGGGTGGCCAGGATTGCTCCAAAAACCACTCATTCTGGCAGCTAGACTGGGTGGGGACGGGGAGCGGCCGCCGAGACCATATAACACCGGTCCTGAAAGACCTGCATTGGCTCCCAGTACGTTTCCGAGCACAATTCAAAGTGTTGGTGCTGACCTTTAAAGCCCTAAATGGCCTCAGTCCTGTATACCTGAAGGAGCGTCTCCACCCAATTGTTCAGCCCAGACACTAAGGTCCAAGGGCCTTCTGGAGGTTCCCTCCCTGTGAGAAGTGAGGTGACAGGGGACCAGGCAGAGGGCCTTCTTGGTAGTGGCACCCGCCTTGTGGAACACCCTCCCTTCAGATGTCAAGGAAATAAACAACTATCTGACTTTTAGAAGACATCTGAAGGCAGCCCTGTTTAGGGAAGTTTTTAATGTTTAATGCTGTATCGTGTTTTTAATATTCGGTTGGGAGCCACCCTAGAGTGGCTGGGGAAACCCAGCCAGATGGACGGGGGTATAAATAATATATTATTATTATTATTATTATTATTATTATTATTATACCATTCTGCACATAATGTACTCAAACAGAAGTCTCTTTTTTAAAAATCTAAGGTCCCAATTCAATGGACACTTGCTTAGGAGTAACTCTCACGGAACACAGTGGAAATTAACTTGAGATAAAAAGTAAATCTGTGTGTCTCTCTAGAACTGAGGGCCGCATGAAGATTGGCTAACAAAATGAAACACTTCACGTGACTCGTACTTAACTTGTGGAACTACCCAAAAGAGGATGCAGTCATAGGCGCTCCTATCAATAGTTCTGCAGAAAGATTAGATAAATTTCCTCAGGGGCAGATAAACTGCGGCCACCATGATGAGATCTAAAATGGAAGCCCTGCCGTACCGCTAAAAGCCAATCATTGAGGACTAGCGACAAGGGTGGGTGAGCATCTCTGGGATGACGTCTGCTGGGTCACTCAGAGGCACCGAGTCTCCAAAATGGCAGGCTACACGGACCTTTGGCTTGAATCCAAGCCGGCAATACAATCAGCGCACACAGTAACCTAAGCAATGGAAAATATATTAATATTGCCACGTCGCTTCCGACGGGTGCTAAGCTCTGCCTCTTACGCACGGGTTGCCAAGGGTCATTATTTATTTTATTCCCCCTATCTACCAGTCTCCCGACCAGTGCAATTCTCTGCGCGACGTTACTCGATATTTTAACATCAGCAACAGCACCGTGTTATAAACCGTCACTGAAACAATCAAGGTATAACCAACAAAAGCTTAATAATAATAATACAGTGGTACCTCGGGTTACATACGCTTCAGGTTACATACACTTCAGGTTACAGACTCCGGTAACCCAGAAATATTAAGAACTTTGCTTCAGGATGAGAACAGAAATCGTGCTCCGGCAGCGCAGCAGGAGGCCCCATTAGCTAAAGTGGTGCTTCAGGTTAAGAACAGTTTCAGGTTAAGTACGGACCTCCGGAACGAATTAAGTACTTAACCTGAGGTACATAATAATGTTTCACAAGCAGCAGTTCATGTGACTCTGGAAAAATGTCATAGAATAAAACAGCCCCGACGTTAAGCATAACACAGGCTGGGAAATCATTGTCTTTTAAAAGCCTGTGGAAAAATAAACAGATTCTTTAAATTACATCAAGGCAGGCAGCAGGTGGGCCTCTATAGCAGCCTACCCCAACCTGGTGCCCCCAAGTTGTTTTGGACTACAGTGATGGCTATGCTCAGCCGGCACAGCTGGAGGCAGCCAAGCTTCTGAATACAGTGGTACCTCGGGTTACATACGCTTCAGGTTACAGACTCCACTAAGCCAGAAATAGTACCTCAGGTTAAGAACTTTGCTTCAGGATGAGAACAGAAATCGTGTTCCAGTGGTGCGGCGGCAGCAGGAGGCCCCATTAGCTAAAGTGGTGCTTCTGGTTAAGAACAGTTTCAGATTAAGAACGGACCTCCGGAACGAATTAAGTACCTAACCCGAAGTACCACTGTACCAGCTTCTGGAAACCACGAGAGGGGAGAGGGGCTCTTGTGATCGGCGCCTGCTTGGAGTTTCCTACAGGAATCTGGCTGGCCACTGTGAGAACAGAATGCTGGACTAAATGGGCCACTGGCTGGATCCAGCACTTCTGATGTTCTTATCAGAACATCAGCCCCATCAGCCCCAGCCAGCATAATAATAATAATAATAATAATAATAATAATAATAATAATAATAATATATTTATACCCCACCCATCTGGCTGGGTTTCCCCAGCCACTCTGGGCAGCTTCCAGAAGAATATTAAAATACAATGATTCTTCAAATATCAAAAGCTTCCCTAAACAGGGCTGCCTTCGGATGTCTTCTAAAAGTCCGATAGTTGTTTATTTCTTTGACGTCTGATGATAGCAAGTCTTTCTACCCAACACTGCAAATTAGGGCAGGCTTACGGTGTGCCCTTGGCAAACCTGGGCGGCAACTGGTGGTTGCTCACGCCCTTGTCGCTTGATGACGCCTCTTTATTTATTTGATAAGATTTCCATCGCAACGTCGGTAGCATAACGATAGCTCAAACTGTATGTGTGTGTGTGTGGAGAGAGAGAGAGAGAGAGAGAGAGAGAGAGAGAGATCTTCTTTGGCCAGGCGTAGTCAAACTCGGCCCTCCAGATGTTTTGGAACTACAACTCCCATCATCCCTGACCACTCGTCTTGTTAGCTAGGGATGATGGGAGTTGTAGTCCCAAAACACCTGGAGGGCCGAGTTTGCCTATGTC